CTGGAGCTGTGAGCAGAGCTCACGACTGTCCCTGGCATCCTGTGTGCAGCAAAGCCTCAGGAGGGACACAGGGTGGTCAGACAGTCCCCTTCGTTTGTCCTCAAGAGTTCAGCCCCCACTGCAGGCAGCACCCTGGGGTCCCCACCATCTGGAGGACCTTCTATGTCCCCTCAGTTGTCTCCTTTGCTGTGGGTCATTCATGCTGATCCATAAAATAAAGGTTGAAATACCTTTAAATACAATTTAAAGATGTACAATCCATCCAACACTATGGTTCATTACCAATTGACAAGGAGCACATGGTAGCCAGGATTTCCTTCTGGAAATTTCTGTGCTGAAAACCAGTCCTCAGAACTTGCTGGCCGTGCCTGGAGCTGGGGGGCCACCCTTGTGGGGCCTGGTGGCGGCTGCTGGGACCCCACCCAGGACGTGCTGTGAGGTTCCCCTTCCGGAGCCTGCAGCTGCTTGAACATTCCCAGCTCCCCTCTGCCTGGAATCTTCCTTCCAAACTTCCCCGAGGAGGAGGCTCCTAGCTGGCCTGCAGGTCACAGAGGGGCTGCCAGAGGCCGGCCAAGTTCATCGGAGACTAGTGGCCACCTCCCCACCTTGTCTCCGGGACCCCAAGGCCGACTGTGACAGGTTTTCTTCATCTCCCTTCCCACGTCCTCATTTAACTTTTTTTGGGGGGGCCGTAAAATTCTGGCCTTTAATATTTTCAACTCTTGTTTCTCATAAAACAACAATATTAGTATTTCTTTAAAGACACATGTACCATTACTGTATCTTTATGATGTGTGCAGGATCCGTGGTGCATGGACCGTGGCTTTCTGACATCACACTCCTGGCCACGAGGCATCGGTTGCAACATCTCGGCTGCACACAGTCTCCCCCTTACACTACAGGAAGACGTGGTTTTATTAGCTGTGATGTGCCAGCAGACAGCCCAGCTCAGGGCTGGGCTCACTCCCATCAGGGACACCTCCACGCCCCTCGTCCTCTCCTAAAATCCTGGATCAAATCATCCTGACCAGCAGTGATTTACAGTCCCCCACAGGCCCATGTAAGTCCCACGGCAGGAGGAGGCAGAGGCCGTCCTTCACAGACCCTCGGGGCCTGGAGTGCTGTCACGTCCAGGAACAAGGATGCAGAAAAACAAGTTTCCAGCTTCCTGGAGTCCGGCAAGGAGGCTGAGAACCGCTGGGCCGGCTCCAGGCAGGGCCTCGAGGGGAGCGTCCCCCTCGGGGTGATCAGGGCATCATGCCCAGGGGCAACACAGCCCTTCTGAGACCCTCAGCCCCCTGGCCGACAGCTGAGGGGTCTGGGCCCTCCCCAGCCACTGGCCCCCAAAATGGCACGGGAAAATAGTCTCAAGACCGCACAATCAGGAGGCTGGGGTGGTCCGGGCACTGGCCGGACATCCCCCGCAGTACTTCTCCCATCCAAGTACACCAACCAGGAGACAGCTGCCACCCCAGTCCCCCAGAGCAGCTCAGGCGCCAGCGGTGGGAAATGGCCCAAGGGGTTTGCCCCAGGCCCCTCTGCCCACCTCCCCACAGTCCTTACCCCATGGCCAGTGAAGGCTGCTTGGGGAGGGTGTGGAACCAATAAAAACCCCATAAGTTATTTTGTGAATATGACAAACTATTGATTTTGAAGTGTGTGTGGAGAGGAGGCAAAGACCCAGAACACGGAAGCAGAAGAACAAAGCCGGAGGACTGACAGTACCCGAACCTCCAGACTCGCTCTGAAGCTACAGGAACCAGGGCAGCGGGTGTTGGAGAAAGAAGGGACACACTCGTCAGTGGAACGGAAGAGAGGGCCGTTGCATAAACACAGTCAACTGACCTTTGACAAAGAGCAAAGGCAACTAATGGGGCAAAGACGGTCTCTTCCGCCAACAGTGCTCCAGCCGCTGGATGCGGAGAGAACGAGCCCAGACACAGACCCTGCACCCTGCGCAGAGTTAACTCAAGCGGGCCACAGACCTAAATGTGAGACGCTAAACAATAAAACTAGACGGTAACACAGAGAAACCTAGATGTCCTGGATATGGTGATGACTTTTCAGATTCAGCAGCAAAGGTGTGATCCCCGAAGGGCAGAACTGACAAGCTGCGCTTCGGTGAATCAAAGACGTCTGCTCTGCGGAAGACACTGTCAAGAGAACAGGAAGACAGGCCTCAGACTGCGAGAAAATATTTGCAAACACACATCTCACAAAGGACCATTATCCAAAATACACAGAGTTCCTAAAACCCAACAAGAAAGTAAACAACCTGACTTAAAATGGGCCAAAGATTTTAACAGACGCCTCACCAGAGAAGACAGACAGGTGACAAACGAGCAGGTGAAAACACGCTCCACGTCCTGTCACCAGGGAAACGCAAAGCAAACAGCAGGGACACACTGCACGCTATCAGCCTGGCCAAAATCCGGGACCCTGACGACACCACATGCGGGTGAGGACGTGAGGTGGCAGGAGCTCTCACCCGGGCTGGGCCAGTGCAAGAGGCACGGCCACGCTGGAAGGCAGGTCGGCGGTTTCTTACAAAACTGACAGCCTCTCACCATATGATCCAGCAATCACACCCCTTGGTTTTTACCCAAAGGATCTGAAAACTTCCATCCACACAAAAACCTGCACACGGACGTTTACAGCAACTTTACTCATAATCGACCAAACTTGGAAACAACCTAGATGTCCCCAGCAGGTGACGGATAAACGGACTGCTCCGCCCAGACGGTGGGGCATTACTCGGGGCTGAAAAGAAATGAGCCGTCAGGCCGGGAAGAGACGGGGAGGAAGCCTACGCACACATCACTGAGTGAAGGAAGCCCACCTGGGAAGCCACGCGCTGTGCGATGCCACCCCCACGACACCCGGGAACAGGACTGTGGAGACAACGTAAAGATCCGTGATTGCAGAGGGCAAGGCAGGGGAGACAAACAGGCAGGGCACAGAGGATTTAGGGCAGTGAACCCTCCCTGAGTGAGTCCACAGTGGACGCACGCCATTGTGCATTTGTCCAGGCCCATGGAATGTGCAACACCGTGAGCCTAATGTGAACTTTGACTGAGCCTAATGGACTTTGACGACAGTGTGTCAGTGTCAGCTCATCCTTGATAAAAAATGTGACATCTGGTAAGTGAGGTTGATAATAAGGGAAACTATGCACGGGGGGCAGGGGTATCTGGGAAATCTCTACCTTCTCAATTTTTTTGTAAACCTGAAACTTGTAGAAATCATCTTTATTAAAAAAAGAAAACAGCTCTGTTCAGAAGTGAGCTATGTAATTAATATACTAGATGTTTTTTCCTTTCTTGTACAACTATTTGAATACCTGGAATTAATGGTTGTCTTTTTTTAATTGTATCTTCTTATCAGCAAATAACTCCCAAACCTGCCAACAGTTGTCTACCTCTCTCCTCATCCGTCCAGCTCCTTCTCAGGGACCTCCTCCTAGGCCACCTGACTGCCCCACCCCTGCACCTGTGGCTCCCACACCTGGGTGTCATCTTCCCAAGCCCACTTCCGTCCTTGGCGAGGACCCCCCTGTTCTGGAGGCCAGCCCTGCCCTCCCTGCGCCCTGACTGCCCCGTTTGCTGGAACACAGACCCTGCAGCCTGTCTAGGAAGGCTGAGTCGCGCATGAGCACTTGACCCCATCCCAGTGCCTGACGAGTGAGCTGCTGGGCAGATAATTCTAGGTTGGAAATCACGGTCTTGAGGATACAGACTCGTCCACCGCCCGCCAGCCTCCAGAGTCACTGAGGCCAAGTCTGAAGGCATGCTGAGTCCTCACCCCCGCCTCGGACTTCTTCCTTTCTTCCCAGAAGCTTCCAGAAGTGGACTTGATTCCCGGTGCTTGGAAATGTTGTCCCAAGATGCCCAGACATGGGGCTTTGCCCATTCCACTGCTCTGGACCCTCAGGCATCCTTTCCTTGCAGACATGTATACCCTTCCATTTAGGGAAATTTTCATATTTCTTCTATTTGGACAAAATCTGCTGGGGTTGGAATCTCCTCTGGAGTGCCCACCCCATGCCAGGTGGCAGGACTAGGAGATGGCATTCTGAAGTTACCGGATAATCAAAAGCAGTCACCACCGAGTCCTGTACTATGCAAGCTTGGGGCAAGGCTTCAAGGATGCCTAGTAATTGGCTACAAGAAAGGTGAGAGCTGGCTACAGAGGGCTCCTGTCAGATGGGCATCAGCGGGCCCACAGGGGATCAGACCCCGTGGCTTTGAGAAGGGCACTGGCTGGAGCCACCAGTAGCAGGTAGAGGGCAGCACATGTCCCACTGAGGGGACCATCCACCCCTGCCCAGCCCAGGGCTTTGGGGCTAAGGTACCAATCTTTAGAGCAATCTGGTGAGTGGGAGCATGGTCAGCCCCTCTACAGATCAGTAAACAGAGGCCCGAGCCCGGCAGCTGCTCAGGGCAGCACAGGGCACCGTAGCCGATCCCACCTGCGTTTGTACAGCTTGAGGGGGTGTGCCTTTCTCCCCTCGCCTTAGTCCTGGCTTCATTTAATACTTCAGTATCTTGTTCATACTGGATTTTTTCCACTGACTTTGATCTTTTCAAATATTGCATTAAAGTATTATGGGCAATTTCTTCAAAAACTAACCATGCAGCTACCATATGGCCGTGCAATTACACTCCTGGGCATTTGTAAGTCCGGGGAGAGGAAATCCCAGGGCAAAATACCTCTAAAAACCGAGATCAGTCAAAGGAAGAACTAAAGTTTAAAACCCGTTTATTGCTTACAAACTTCAGTCGAGTGCCGTCTCTCTCCCCCTGCTCCGGAAAAAGCAAGCAAGCAAACAAGCCCCTCCCCTTAACTTTTCAGGTTCAGACACGCCCTCGGTTGCCCAGGTAATTATCCATTGATATGGAGATGAGCTTCTCTCCCCACCTGAAAATATGCAAATGAATCGAAGCCAGGCGAGATACTCTGGAAAGGCTACAATTTTACCCACAGCATGTATCCCAGAGAGATGCAGATGGGTTGACGCGGAGACCTGTGCATGAGGATTCACAGCCACTGGGCCCAGCTGTCCTTCGACACGCAGTGGTCCCTTCACGCCACAGAGCTCTGCTCAGCAACAGAAAGAAGAAGCTATTGAACAGACATGCGGCAGCTTAGGGCTCCTCAGCTCCCTGTGCTGAGTGAGAACCAGTCCCAGAGCGTATATACGCTGTGATCCCATTTACATAACATGTTCGGAATGATAAATTCTAGAAGTGGAGAACAGATTAGTGACCGCCAGGGTTTAGGGAGGCGGGGTGAAGGAGGGGGTGTGGTCATAAAGAGACAAGGGGAAAGTCCTAGAAGGCTGGTGGCCCAGGTCCCTCCAGGCCAGCCGGCTCCTCTGCCTCAGAACCCCCCACAGCCCAGTTCCGCTGGGCATGCAGCCCTGCCAGCCCTGGGGAGGGCGCTGGTGCGGAGTCTACCCCAGCACTTCACAGCTCCACTTTCTGCGAGAATGGGCTGTCCTCCTGCTCAAGGAAGGGGGCCTCGCAGCACTTTGTCATAGGCCAACAACAAAACAAACCCAGAAAGGGAAGCGATCTGAACATCTATGAGCAGGGAGTGGCTAAATGCACTGAGGATATTCATATTTGAAGGGTGCCATGGAGCCGTCCCAAGGGAATGAAAGGATGGGGCTTCTAAGACATATCAGAGAACCTGCTAGCACTAGATTCCAGGCTACACCTCTGACCTGCTGATTCCCAGTCTCCAGGGCAGGGCCTGGAGACCAATCAGTGCACCCAGCTATCCATCCAGCCATCTGTCGAACTACCTACCCATCTACCCATAGGCCTATCTGTCCATGCATCTATCTACCCAGCTATCTGTCCATCCATCTACCTGTCTCCTGTCATTCCTTGACCTGCCCTTCACGCTCTACCACAGGTACACAACTGTTGGTCTCAATAACACCAGCTGACTCCACCATCAGGCATGCAGGGCAATGGTTCTAGTTAGCTGGGTAACCGTCACCTGGAGAGTTTTATAAACTCCTGAAGCCTTTGGCAGTTCCTCAGAAAGTCAGAGCAACCGTATGACCCATCACGTCCACTCCTGGGTGGACACACCCTAGAGAACTAAAGTAGATGTCCAAACAGAAACTCACACATAACTGTTCATGGCAGCACTGTTCACAGTAGCCAAAAAGTGGAAACAACCCGAATGGCCGGCAACCGGTGAATAAATAAACACAGTGTGGTCTGTCCATTCAGCGGGATGTTATTAAGCCTTTAAAAAAGGAATGAAGTGTTGATATTGTACGATATGGAAGAACCTCAAAAATGTTATGCTCAGTGAACGCAGCCAGACTCAAAAGATCACATGTTAAAGATTCCACATATATGAAATGTCCCAAACAGGCAAACCTATAGAGACAGGAAGCAGTTCAGTGGTTGCCAGATACCATGGGGAGCCAGAGCTGATAAGGATAAGACATTTCCTTTGGGGGTGAAAATGACCTGTGCCAGGTGCATGGATCTGTGAGCGCATCGGATGCTGCTGAACTGTCGCTTTAAGACCCTTAAGATGCATAGATAGGTGGTTGCTCAGAGAAAGATCTGGAGGGAGACCGCCAACCCAAGCAGAGTTACTCTGGAAAGGGGATTAGGTGACAATAAAAGGGGACTTTGGCCTTATTTGTGATGTTTTAGTGCACAGCAAGGTGGGTCATCCCTACAGTCTGTGTGTCATCAAAAAGTAATTTTAAAAATAAGGTTTCTAGTGTGGAGGCCATGGGGAGTGAGGATTGAAGGGGTGCCTCACCCACCCCCCAGGAAATCCCTAGGCCCCTCCCATCTGTGCTGCAGTTAGCCCCAGGCTGAGCCCAGCCTGCTGTCATCAGGAAGGCCCTCCCAAGCGGGGTTCATCAGAAGCCAGTGTGCAGGGAGGGTGGGGTCAAGGGCCTCCGCCATCACACAAGGCAGCTTTGCCCCAGCCGGCCCCTCCACAGGGCCACATTAATAGGTGATCCATTTATCTGGGGGCCAGGGCTGGCCTGGCCACAGCCCACACCCCCATCTATCAATCTGGTAACACAAACAGAGGGCAGGACAGGCCTGGCTTTTAAAGGTGCATTTGTAGAGGCCTTTGAAGCCTTATCTCCACTCCTCCCAGCCCAAGGATAAAAGCCTGAGAGAACAGCCTCACTCCTGCTGCCCCAGGAAGGAGGACTGGGGGCCCCCTAGGGAGCCTCAGGTGTGGGGGGAGGGCTGCCGGGTCCAGAGCAGCCCTGGGCTGGGTTCTGAGAGCTGCCCCTCTCCCTGCAGCCCTGCCACGGGCCTCTGGGCCTGCTCCAGGCTGGCCTCTAGCTGAAGAAGGGGAGCTGCGGAGCCGCCCACAGGGTCTGATGCCTGGCCGGTGGGCTGGGTGGTGGCATGAGGGTCTGTGGTGCCCTCGGTGTGTTTACTGTGAGGACGTGGCATCCGAGGTGGCGCTGCCTGGTCAGTGCACCGCACTCCCCAGCACCTGGCTCCTAGGGTTTCAACAAACACGAACGGATGAATGGATGCCGAAGGAGGCTCTCACTCAGTCCTCACGCCTTTTTCTCTGGTTTACAGATGAGTAAATGAGCTCAGAGAGAGTCTTCTGTGTGCCCAGTTCTGACAGCCAAAATCTCCTAAGCAGGAGGGCCTGCCCCCTGCACTGCGCCCCAGGCCTCACCTGGGCAGGGAGGCAAGCTACACTGGCCCTTCCATTTCCTCACCCCCCCGACAGCTCTGGGAGGGGGTGGCCTGTTGTCCCTGGCAGCGGGCGCACACCCAGGGGTGCAGCCGGTCCTCGGCTAGCCAAGGGCATAACCTGGGCTGGGGCTGGGGCTGGGGCTGGGGCTGGGGCTGGGGCTGGGGCTGGGCCCACCCACGCAGGCCTCCACGTCCCTGCAGCTCAGCTCTCCCGCTGGGCCCACTGCAGCATGCCTGCAGGGACACCCCCCGGACAGCATGGGGCCGCCCGGATGAGCTCTGCCATTCCAGGGGCACTTTCTGGGCCTGTGGGCAGCTGCACTTTCATGCCCCCTGAGCTGACCCAGCCTTCCTGGCCACATGGCTGGAGAAACTGAGGCTCAGCCAGGCCGTCCCTGTGGTTCAGAGGCAGCTGGACTGAGACCCAGGGCTCCCAGCACTCAGCCTGATTGGGGGGGACACAGCCTCCCCTGACTGCCAGGGTTTGAGACAGGATCGTGGGACTCTCCCTGACTCCAGGTTTCTGTTCCGACCTCCCAGCCCTGCCCGGCCCCACACACTCCCCACCGCATGACCTCACCCCCTCTGCTCGCGCCCTGTGTCACCCTCCCAGCCCTTTGCGGATCCCGCACCCCTCCTCCCTCAGGTCTCAGAATGCCACTTGCCCTGCACCCCACCTCCGGGCTCCCTCACCCTGTTGCTGGTCAACCTGCGCTTGCTTTTCCCCATCGCACTGACCTGAGGACCCGTCCAGCAGGGCGGCCACAGGAGATGCCCTGCAAGCAGCTGCCAGTGAGCACGCCCAGGTGAGATTGAAGGTCGCTGCATTTTCCATCTCACCTGCACCACAGCTGGTCCCACAGCTCCCTGACCCACGTGGCACTCGGTGAACATGTGATGTGTATGAACACATAAGTGACACGTATGTTCAGTCGGGGTACATGTCTGGGTGGAGGGGGTGAGCCTGAAGGAAACCACAGGAGGCCCAGCCCTCCTGTAGCCCCTGCCCCAGGGATGCCTGTTTCTGCCCAGTGGTGGCAGGGTAGGCAGGTGGGGTCCCCTGGGAGGCACCAAGAGACAGGCCCAAGTGGCTGCCACCTAGCAGGACCACGGAATTTTACTGTCTGCCTCCCATGACTCCCACAGACCCTGAGCCCTGACCCCGCCCAAGGTCAAGGACACTTCCCCAGAGGCGCAAGGCCAGTGGCTGTGATTTCCAACCTCCTGTCCAGTGGGGACAGTCCTGGCCTCCCGGCTCAGCCACGTGGCCTGCCAGACCCTCTGCAGCTCTCTGCAGGCTTCTACCCTGATGGTGGACACTGCTGTCACCTCCATCTTCAGGGCTGGGAGAGGCCGCAGGGAGGGCTGGCAGAGAGTGCTGGTTGCACAGCCCAGCTCCGGAGGGCGTCTTGGCTGCTTCCAAGGACAGTCTTCCCTGCAGGCGGAACCAGGACTCCGTCACCTTGGACCCACAGGCAGGGTACATGGGTGGGTGCCAGGGACACCGTGGGGTTGCTGGGAGGTTGTCCTGGGAAGGCCTCCAAGAGGGGCTCATGTGGGCATCTGAGCCAGGTGGTAGCACCTGGGACCTTATCAACAAGAAAAACAAAGTTTATTGAGTGCCAACTGCATACCTGTCTGCATGAGGGCTGGCACTAACCAGGTCAGTTGGGAGGACCTGAGCCCTGGAAGGGGGCTGGACCCCTGTATATGGGGAGGTGATCTGATCTGACCAGCAGAGCCTTGCAAAGCAGCCCCAACGCCTCCCAGCCCCTCCTAGAACAATAGGCATACCCACTCCCTCACCCACTCTGGGGTCCCATACCCTCCACCCCACCCCATAGCCCATCACGGACCCCAGGCCAGGAGTTCCTGGCCAGATTTGGACAAGAAGAGGTGGGGAGGGAATGTTTGACAAAGACTTGCGGGGTCTTCAGGCAGGATGGGTGGAGCCTGGGACCCCAACCACGGGACACCCCCAACCCAGTCGCAGGGCCTGACTCCCCATCTGTTGGGAGGGCCGCCTAATGGCAGGAGCATAGCTGATGCCCTCAGACAGACCCCAGCCCAAATCCCTCGGGGCTGCCCTGGGAAGGCAGCTCACTCCTGGCCTTCTCTCCCCACCTGAAGCCAGAGGAAGGTGAAGGGGCTGGCGCAGGGAAACACTGGGCCTCTGGCATCAGTCAAGGTCAAGGTCAAGTGTTATCATTGCTCTGGTGAGACCAGCTGGAACAGGGGACCCTGGGTGCAGACTGAAGCACCTACTCGTCCTCCAGCACCCACCCACCGTGCGAGCACTTGGTCCAGAGGGAGGTGACAGGGTCCTGTTGGGGGCATCCGGGCTGGCTGCTCGCCTCCTGAAGGCAGAGGGGGACCCCACGGCCTCGGGGCCACACCAGAACCCAGGAGTGGCCTGGGAGAGATCGGGCCAGGGCAGAGCAAATGGAAAACAAGGCCAGTGGCAGCTTGGCTGTCCTGCCCCAAGGCCAGGCTGGGGCTGTAGCTGGCCAGCACCCAGGGAAGGGGCAACGCCACGGGGCAGATGCCTGGGCAACAGGCAGTCACACCTCCTAACCCTGGAGAGCATTTTAGCCTTTAAAAATATTCTTGCAAAACTGACCACCCTCCGAGAATGTAGTCCAGTGGTCGCTCTCCATGGTTTTTACCCAAAGGAAAACTTGTACCCACACAAAAACCTGCACACGGATGTTTACAGTGGCTTTATGCCTAATCGACCAAACTTGGAAACAACCTAGATGTCCCCAGCAGGTGATGGATAAATGGACTGCTCCGCCCAGACGGTGGGGCATTATTTGGGGCTGAAAAGAAATGAGCTGTCAGGCCGGGAAGAGACGTGGAGCAAGCTTACTCACACATCACTGAGTGAAGGAAGCCCACCTGGGAAGCTATGCGCTGTGCAGTGCCAGACCCATGACATCCGGGAACGGCCCAGACACGCTGACCGTGAAGGCATCGGTGGCTGCCGGGGTTGGGGGTGAGCGGGTCGAGCGCGGGGGTTTTAGGGCAGTGACACCTCGTGGGTGTCACCATGATGGTGTCATCGTGCGTTTCCTGCGCCCACGGAGAGCACAGCCCTGAGAGTGACCCTAACGCGATCCATGGGCTCCAGGGGAGGCTCAGCTGTGACGAACATGCCATCTGGTGGGGGTGTGGACAGTGGGGAGGCTGTGCACGTGTTGGGGGTGTATGGGAATCTCCGTGCCTCCCTCTCAATGCCACTGTGAACCTGGAACTGCTCTAACAAATAGTTTATTAATTAGAACAACTTTATGGAGATATGATTTGCATAAAATAAAGTTCATGTTTTCAGTATGCATTTGATGGGCACTGTGAACAAGCACTCTCCCATGACCACCACCACAGCAAAGGTACAACCTTTCCTCAGGCTCAGAGAGTCCCTCTGCCCATTTGCCTGCCCCAGTCCTGACCTCTGACCTGGCCCTGGCTGCTAAGAGCCAGAGGGTCCTTCTGGGTTCCTGCCGGTGGCCCAGATAGTGCCCTCTGCTGCGCAGAGCTCTCCCCAGTGGAATGCTCCAGCCTGCCAGGCACGGCTGGGCGTACTGGATGCTGGTGTGCCGAGCCCGCCGACTGCTCCTTCCCGTCTTCATGGTGCAGTCGGGATGACAGCGAGCACCGCAGCTGTGAGCCTCATGGGCCACTGGGTCATGGGGCAAGCGTATCTACCTGTGAGGAGCTTACAGCTTTTGTTCAATCACCAATGTGGTCTGCACAGAGCTGCTGCCTATCAGCTGGCCAGCACCTTGAGCCCTCCTGCAGCAGACCCGGCTCAGCTGCCACCGTAAAGCTCACCGTGCAGATGAGGCCCTGGCCCAGCACTCAAGGGGCAGTCAGGACTCAAACCTGGCTGAGGTCAGGGGGCAGGGCACAGTTTGGCCCACCCTGGCCAGTCTGAGGGTCAGCAGTATGGAGGGAGGATCTGAAGCTGTCCCTACCTCTGTGCAAAACCACAGCTGTGCACACACCATCCCTGACACCCTGTGCACACAGTGCGCCCAGCTGCACACAGTAAGCACACGCTTGAACACACAGGAGCTGACCCGCGTCCAAACAGTGGTGAAGGCGGGCCTCATGCAGGAGGCATCCACAAAGCATCAGGGCCTGGCAGAGCCTGGCACAACCCTGGCTGGCTGCTTCCTCCATCTGAGAGCCCAGGGCTAGGCCATGGCCGCTGGCAGGGGCCTCACCAGGGAGGAGGAAGTACCTGCTGGGACCTCACCAGGCCTAGTGGCCTGCAGCCCAGGTCCTTGTCTGAGCCGCGGGCACTCCCTGGGATTCACTCAGGTGCCCTCGGGGGAGCCTCACGGCTGAGGAGGGGCATGTGGGGAAGGGGGCCTGGGGAGGGGTGCTCCAGGCAGTGAGGGGGATGTGGGGTGGCTGGGAGCACAGGATGGGGGCACATGGAGAAGGTGTGGGGCAGGGGTGGCAGCGGACAGGTGCGTGGGCAGCCACAGCTCTCAGAGGTCAGCTCCTCCTTGCCTGAGCTCAGCCACAATGTCACTGTGCAGAGAACAGACACGGAAAACGCAGCCCTGCACCTTGGGGTGCCCTGTCTCCTCCAGCACCTGGGTGGCCCCTGGGATCAGCCCCAGTGGGTCCCCCAGCCTGCCCTGGGACCCAGAGACGCCCACCCACCTTGGCCACGCTGCCTGCTCCGCTCTGGGGTGGGGGGTGGGCAGTGTTGGGCAGGGTTCCCTGGGACCCCACATGACCACTTCCTGAAGCAGCTCAGGGTTCCCGCCCACTGAGCCCAAGAAGGAAGACCGATGCTCGTGAACCCCCAGTTCATGGACAAGGAAACCAAGGCTGGAAAGGCCAGCCCTCCCTGAGCAGGGCCACGAGGCAAGAAAGGACACTGTGAGCCAGGGCCCCACCGCCCGCCTCCGCCCCAAGGCGCAGGAGCAAGTCCCCCCTCCCCCCAGCCCCTTGTGCTGGAGCCCCTTCCCAGCCTGTGCTGGAGGCCCGATTCTCCTCATCAGCTGGCCCCCTGGCCAGAGGCACAGCCCAGCCAGCAGTAACTACGGGAAACAATCCCATCTCTATGTGGGTTCCGATCCGACCTGTTTGGCCACTTTCTGTGCTGCGGCAGAACCCGTCCGGTGGCTTTGGGCAGCCTCTGCCTCCTTTCTGCTCCCGGCCGGGAGAATCGAGAACCCGTCAGGCAGGTTTGGCCGAACATGTCTTGTTGTCTGGGCAAGTTCACACGCTGCTTGCTTCTGTCTCTCGGGTGGGGAGCATTCCAGCGCGGCATGGAGGTGGACGGAGGGCGGTGTGGGTGAGGAAGCATGTGAGTACCTGGGACCCCGGGGCTGGGCAGCCTGGGCGAGGCTGGGGTCGCCATGGGGGTCATCACTGCAGAGGCAGGGACCCCAGGCCCTGCTCGCTGGGCAGGAGGCCTGGGCGGCAGGGCTGCAAGAGGGGGGATGGCCACCTGTTCTGGGGCATCTGTCCAGGGCCCAGCCGGGCAGGGGACTCCGTGGGCTTCCTGGGAAGAGGGACTGGGTGCAGAGAGGCGGCGAGGCCATGTTCTGACACTCCCGCACCAGGAAGGCCTGCTGCCTGGTGAGTGCCTGGGGACCCCAGGAGAGTCTGGCAGCCAGGCCTTCCCACCCTGGACTGGCTTCACTTCCTAGACCCTCAAAGGGCAGAAGGGGTACAGCCATGGGGTGAGGGGTAGGGCCCAGGGTAGCCACCTGCAGCTCAGTGCTGGGCACTGTGGGACCCCTCGGTACCCCCAACTTGAAGTCCCCTGGGAGGCAGTGATGAGCAGCTCCTGAGGGACAC